TGCACTTCCCTTCACATGACAAACATGCTGGCTGTATAGTACGCTGTCCCGTTGCCACGGCAACACAATGTTTGAGTAACCAACAGGGGTGGAGAAGATTGTTTCCAGACCAATGATGTGTGCATGTGTGTGTGTGTCTGAGAGAGAAAAAGAGGTCACATACTGTACACACACTACACTGATTTGTATGTCAGTGTCTATATGTGTGCGTGTATATAATAATGTGTGTGAGAGAGACTGTGATATTACACAGTAGCCTACATTGTACTAAACGGTGCCTCATTGTGTGTCTGTATTCAATCACATGTTAATCTACAAACCATGTATACAGTAAATGAACAAATGCTTCTCTCCGTGTGTGTGTGTGTGTGTGTGTGTGTGTGTGTGTGTTTGATGGTTCAGTAAGAATATTGGAGTATAAAATGTGCTGAGAAACACGCAATAGTGGCGCACTGAATACACTCTTAACACACATGTAGATTGGTTCATCTAACTTCTAAGGTCTCTCGTTGATAAAGTGCATTTCTTAGTCCTTTACCTTGACCTTAAACTAAGCCTTAACCCTAACATTAACCCTAAGACCTGGTCTTAACTCTCAAAAAGCCCTTTGACAGAGGCCCAGTCAAACATTATTTTTCACTCAGTGAAACTGGTCCTCGCAAGCGTAGAAATACCATAACGCACACTCACACAGACAGAGGTGATATCACACTCGCATGCAGCATTCACAAATGTATCCCATTTGCATGCTTTGACACCCACACGTGAACACACTAAAGGAATTTCAGCTGCGGGAATTCAAAAATGCACACACACACACACACAACCTTGCATACATCTGTGTTTCCACAGAGATGTCCTCCGTCTGACTTTACAAAAAAAGCATAAAAAACAAGTGAACATGTGAGCAGCTGTGACAGATCTCCCCTCCATCACTTCTCCATCACACTCCATCTCCTCATTTCCTTCCTCTGTTTCTCTCCTTTGTCTCTCATAAACAAGATTCCTGCAACACTTTTAACACTTGGCCTCTGTTGGGGTTTATAAAACATTTCACTGAAACTCTTAAATAGAGAAAACTTCCCTAGAATTAGCCAGAAGAATAAGAGATAATGGAATAAACAGGCAATAGAGTATTCAAAAACAGCTTGACTGGCTCATGTCAAAGCAACTACAAACAAACACCGTTGCCAGTTAGG